TTATAAGCACTGAATATACATTTATAGTGATGGACAGGCATGCAATTTTATCTATCTCGTATAGTAAGTTCAGAATACGATAGTTATAAGCCTTCTATAATGTAGACGATTTATTATTCTCTATGATTTGAATGCGAAATTATCCCGATTTCCGAGTTTTATTTTCAATATTAAAAAATATTACATACACTCAAAAAGGAATTGAGCGATATAAAATTGTAATACAGTACTTTTTAAAGCCTTTATAAATAAATTGATATCTGCCACTTAAAAGAAAGAAAATCAATCTATAGATTAGATTTGGTTATTACATGTATATTTGATAAAAAGTTAAATTATTTATGACACATGATTTATACTGTATATATACCCAAGGAATTATAAAAGATGTGAAAAGACGATTCTTGGATTCTTGTGAAATACTCAAAGAGTTAAAAAAAAAATATGTGAAAACGCGATTCTGTGTGAAATAATAGTACGGTATATGTTTCTTTTGAAAAAAAAACCATGATAAAAAAAATTGCACAGGTCTCTTGATATGTGGGATAAGTATACCTGAATGAACACAGTATATAATTATGTACATGCAACTGACGTCCGTACTTTTCCTTATAATTCATAAAACATAAAACTATCTAATTCCTTTGAAGCCCCCCCCCCCCCCCGTCTTGATTAATATTTGGAGACGTTCGTGCAGCTAGGCATTTGAATTATATATTCGTTTTAGATTTAAATCTGGAACATGTGAATATAATTACCATTTTCATGTATACAGAATTTCATATTCTATAATGGTAGATTTGTCATTATGAAATGTTCAATTTTCGTCTGAGAGAGAGAAAGAGAGAGAGAGAGAGAGGGGGAGAGAGAGATTCCCTCTTAATCCCGATCCTCCTATCCATTTACATAGACCAAAAATTAGTTCTATATCGGTCACACCCATTCTTTATTAAATGTTTTCTGATTTCATAGTCAGTCATGGTCACATCCTGTATATTTTTCAGCTTAAAAAGTATCACACGAAGTGCACGTGTGTTGACCTGTCAATCAAAATCCCTTGACGCTGTATACACTGCAATTAAGTAGCCTGAGTTCGAAATGATCTTGAAGTATGATCTTTAAGTGAATCTGATGCAACAAACTTGTGAAAAAATAAAATAAAATAAAAAATAAAATATCTCGGTATTATGAACTTCGATTGTGGGACGTGGAAACCGGTCCTTTGGATGAGATCGTATAAATCGAGGTCCCTTTTCGCAGAAGGTGCTGGCATAAAAAAGATTCCCCACTGCTCAATTGCGATAAGTATAGGACAAAAATTTGCAGTCTCCACCGGCGAGTGGTGGCGTCTCCATGTGAGTGATAAATTCTGGAGAGGGACGTTAAACAACATACGTATAATCAATCAATCAATCAATCGATTGCTGAAGAATTACTGTAAAAAAAGAAAAAAAGCAAATTCTTACAGATTTAGTTCAATAAACATTTTCAATACTAGTAAAAGGTTAGGTTTGGAAATAAGTTGGGGGGGGGGGGGCAGGCCACCCCCTCCCCCCCCCCCCCCCGATACTACATGTCTGATGGTGAGGGCCCAGAAGATCCTGAATTTTACTAAATATTTCATTCATTTTCTTGCAGAACAAACATCATGCCATTTAGGTTTTGTTTAGAAAATAAAAGAATTATAGTAATATTTCTTGTTGTTTTAAAGCAAAGTTATGCTTCCATGGAAACTTATTGTACATGTGGTTTAGGCTAAATATTTAACCGATATAAGGTATATTTCTTTTAAATTAAAAAGCAAAGTATATTCAATGTTAATTATTAACCAAAAAATATCGTATTTTAAAACATATACTAGTTTATAATAGCATTCAACGATGTGTTTGAAATTTTTCTCAAAGATCTTTAAAAATTTCAAATATTAAGGAAAATTTACAAATAATGAATGATTTATTTGGATTTGGCAATGATTTAATAAAGGATTTCATTTTATTATATAGTCGTGATAATATAAAATTCAAATCGAAACAGTATGACACAAAATAAATTGAAACTCGAATGTTTGTTGGATGGTATAGAGATTTTATCTTCAAATAACCTCTCTCTCTCTCAGGTCCTCTACCCTAGGGTGGTTTTTTTTTTTTTTTTTTTTTTTTTTTTTTTTTTTTTTTTTTTTTTTGAAAATGATGTGTACGCCACTTGCGTATTTGCGTATAGGCAGCTACGCCCCTGGCTGTTGATACTTTTTTTTGGGGGGGGGGGATGGAAGTACATGTACTTGCGAACGTTTAATTACGTCCCTGAGCATTTATTAGTCAGCCCCCGGGCTGACTAGTTACGGGGATGAAACTGCAAGTGCGCTTGCGTAATTTGGAATTCTGGGAAAAAGAGGTACACGACTTGTTCTGAAGAAACTCGTGCTATTTGCTCCAACCAAAGGGCGTGATTCTTCACAAACACCCTCTAAACAAAGACTGCATTGTTCTTCGACGAAAAATTAAAGAAGAGATTGTTCTAAGTGGGAATATGATACTATGAAAATATTTCAGTGCTTATAGAAGATGAGAAGCTTATAGAAGATGGGAAGTTTATATGCAGAGCACATTTAACACTTGATATATATGTACCCTCAATCGCCGTTGCAAGTTCACGGATTTGTGTGTATTCCTCTGAATGCCTGATGCAAGACTCCCTCGATCAATACCTTGCATAAGACATGTATGGGTCGGAATTCACACAATAATCCACTTGCACAAAGGTCCCTAAACAGTGGAAAAAAAGAATCTCTTTTTCACTTTAATGATGAAAGTTATGAAAACATCAGAAGATCACTTAAGATGTGTAAAGTCTTATAATTTACACGATGATAGACATGTAAGTGCCGCTTGTGCACCTGAACCGCGCCCACAGGTGAGAAACTGACCACAGTAGAACTGCGATAGTTGAGAGAAACTGCGCGGATTTATAGACAGCCCCCCCCCCCCCAATTAGAGAGAATGAGCGAGATGGAATCCAGTATCATTCTAGGGTATACGTACAGTATGTATGAAATATTTTGAATTTCCAGTTTATTGCTTTATTTTGGAAGCAATTCTTTTCTTTCCTAATAACACTGAAATGAATGTTTAAATTTAGAAATTGAATTATATATACATACAGTATGCACCCCTCCCCCTTCCCCTATCATGCATTGCCTCGAACCTGCACGATTAAAAACTTTTATCTAATAATAATTAACACAACCTAACCCGAGGTCTACCTTCCTTTTAAGCATCATAATCTATATCATTTATAGAATTTAACAGTAGGTTACAGCATTGCAAGCTGTTGCTTAGGGGATGATCATTTCAGGGGGAGGGGGGCTTACAGATTTTGGAAATAAATAATCTGTCCTCGAAAATGTTGTCAATGAAAATAAATAATCTGTCGTCGACTGGGCAAGAAAATAAATGATCTGTCCAAGACTAGTTCTAGACCCCCCCCCCCCTCCGGGAGTTTTCAACTTTGATTTTTTTTTTTTGGCTTGTCAGGCTTTTCATTTAAGAAGAAATAAATAATCTGTCTTTGTTTTTTTGGAAATAAATAATCTGTCCTTCACCGACATGAAAATAAACAATCTGACTCGGTAAAATTTGCCCCCCCCCCCCAACCTCTCCCTCAGAATCAAATAGCTGTCCCTTAACAGGAGGTCAGTGTCGCTAAAAAATTTTCTTAATGTTTCATCGTAACTTAGCAGTATTTAATTTATGATAAACTTGTACATCTATATATTTTAAAAAATAACCTGTTTAAAAATAAAACTTAATCTTTTGATGTAACAGGTGTATTTGCGATTTTTTTTAGATAATGGCTTCTTTCTTAATAAAACAAACTGATAATTCAAATGCGATCAAAGGAAAAAAAGGTCAGTTGAACCTTGTGTCCATATCGTTTCGCGATACCAAGTGAAAACAAATCAATCTCAATTTCTCGGGCCTTTCCGACAAGACGAAAAACAACCACTTCTTTTTCCAAGATTGCAGGAAAGGCCCGAGAAGATGCGATTGATAACAAATAATTAAATTTTTTTTAATATTTCCAGTGCCGATCATTCGAATAAACCTTCTTCATTAATTACCAATTCCAACAAAAGTTTTATCTAAGTATTGTATCGACTTTACAAATCGTAAAAAGCCTTCATTATTTGTGATAAGTTGTTGCTTAAATAATGTAGCACTAAACTACCAATTCCAAGAAAAGTTATAGCTAAATAATGATATACTGAAGAATTTAATAAAACAAAAATCATCGCAGATTTCTTTTTCATTGTGACGTCATAATCAAATGTGCACAAGAAAGTCGCCCAAATCATATAAATTGCGTACCCAGTTTTAACGACGTCAGCAAACCCGCGACCTACGTTAAATTTAGAAATTGAATTAAATATACATTCAGTATGCACCCCTCCCCCTCCCCTATCATGCATTGCCTCTAACCTGCACGATTAAAAACTTTTACCCAATAATTAACACAATCTAACCCAAGGTCTACCTTCTTTTTAAGCATCATAATCTATATCATTTATAGAATTTAACAGTAAATTAAAATTGAAAATGTATACATTCTTCAACGTTCAATGATTGGGATCACAATGGCTTTGTTCATTTCTGAGACGAACTGTATCTGATGTCCGCGCCCAAGAGAAATTAATTGGAGGTCATCATAAAGATCACGATGTAACCTAACTAAAATTTATTCTATGCTTTATTATTTATTATGTACAGCATTATGTTACAAATAACAAAACGGCTGGGCGAATTTTAACTTAGACGACAATGACTTTTAATGAACACAACATGATGGATAAAACAAATCATATACCATCACAAAACAAGAAAGAAACTTTCTGTATTCCAGTGGCTGACTCTCAGCTTTTTTTTAAAAGCTAACCTTGTTCACCATGCTAAGGTGCGCCCGCGGTCTTGCTCTGATCCGTCCGGATCTTCTGATCTATTCCAGTTTGACTTTTACAGTAAGCGACCCGATTTCACAATAACCAAAATATTGTTGGCTACATTGCTTAATAGTCTCATCTTGAGCAATACCTCGGAGATTGTAGAAGATGGGGAACATAAACACTGTTGGACCAAATGAAGCACTGATAATTTCAGGTAATTTTCTTGTTAGGCCTCTCAAATTTGCAAAAATTGAATGCTACATCCATTGGCGATAATACTCGGGAAGATAGCCATGAATGCAGTTCCGGTATTATGTTACAGTGACCCAGCCCATCCATCAGCAGCATTTCTTTGGCCCGAACACCCAAACATAAATTGCTCTTCCGCTTGAAGACCATGTTTTGATTTCTTAATTCATATATTACAATTAATTAGCCACCCTGATATTATAAACACTTGTACCTGTTTACGTCGTAGTAACACTAGCATTTATAGGCATTCACCAGGGGGTCGTAACATAAAGCTTGCTAAGTTTTTGACTTAAGTAGGGTCATAAGTATGTTTTAGGTGCAATCTTAAGACCTGCCTAAGTACTACTTAAGTATGTCTTAAACCGTAACATAAAACGGACTTAGCTAGGTCTTAGCTAAGTCAAACTTAAGTTCATAATATGTTTTATTGATCATCCTAGTTTTCCAATTTATTTATATATGTATTTGTAAAAATGATTTAGTTACGTTTTTAATCACATGTATATTAGAGTTGACGTCCTTACCTATCGGTTTTAGCTAGGTTAGATTTGATTTAGTTAAAATTAATTCTGTTTAAATAATTCTGAATATTTGAAAACAAATATTGCACGATCACAAAGTGGCACTAGTGATTCATTGTAAATGCATGAATATTGTTTATCACTCGAGCCTACGATGTTTTCAGTTTACCGTTTGTTGTTATTCTTCCGTTTGACAAATGTTCACTTGCTTTAAAATTGTCACTCTTGCAGATATGGCCGATAACCGAACGTCTAGGTACTTGAAATTGAAACTCTTAATAAAAAAGTTAAAAAAAAAAAAAAAAAAAAAACAGGGGCATTTTGAATTTTTTTCCCCTCCCATATCAGCAAGCAGAGACTACAGACGTTTTATAATATACTTATTTACAATTTAATGAAGGGTGGAAAAGAATTTTCAGAAAACAATTTTTCGTATATCTCCAACTTATCAACTCTCTCTCTCTTGAGCGTTAACGGTAGTGAACCCCTGTCTGAATCCTCACTTGTTGCGTTCTACATTCAATCTAATATACAGAAAATATTTATTGATTCTCTACTCATCATCCTTTACTTCGCCTGCAATTTTTAAAATCATTTCATCTCATTTTTTCACAGTGAGCCAACAAATTTATGATTACTGTATACAATTTACTTACAATGATTAGTGTCTGTGTTGACCTAGGTCCCACGAATATTTCACACGTATCCCAAAAATAATATTTTGCAGTTACATGCATGTCATTTAGAGAGTGATATTGGAATAAGTGATGTATACCCCCCCCCCTTCCCCCGGACGAAAAACTAAAATTCCTATACAAGTGTATTAGATAGAGAAAATTATTTTTTTAATGCATGATATTAATAGAGGATTGTTTTAATATAATAAATCAACCTTAAATAGTTCTAAATATGTGTTTAAGAAACATGAGAAAGTTAAGACATACTTAAGTCACCTCTACCGGCCGCCTAAGTTTTGCTAAGATTGTCAAATCTTAGCACGCTTCTAGTTATGGTCTTAACTTTAAGACTGTACTTAAGTCCTACTTAAGCATGGTCTTAGACTTAAGTACCCTTTATGTTATGACCCCCTGGTGCGGCAGTTCATAATGAGGTTAATTTTAAACTGCAGCATCAGATAAGTATGGATGGAGTAAATTGATACAATCCATGAGTCCTTTTATGTATATATCTTTAAAAAAGATACACTTAAAAAAAAAAAATGAGAAAATTTTAAATCCCTAAACTGTCAAAATTAAATTTCTATGTAATTATTTGAAACAATTTATGTATGTGACAAATGTTCTGCTCTATCTTAACAACAGGAGGCTGTTGTGGCTCCCAAGGGAGGAAGACCATTGTTGGAGGATGGGGCTGGTCATGGTGTTTAGTGACTGATGTTCAAAGGTAAGTCATTTAACATAGCAACTTCTGATAATGTGATATCACTACCATGAAATGATGTATAAAATTTCTGTTGCTGGCACAAGAATGTTAAATTGTAGTTTAAATAAATGCCTGAAAATATTTTATTAGACCACATGGCCTTAGGGATGGGGAAGTCCCCCCCCCCCCAATAATTTTGCCAATATATAGTATACTATAGAAAACAAAGCTACTTTTTATGGATTTTCCCTCTCAAAACTTGGTATCATGTTTACTATAATATTTCAATTCAACATATATTTATATAGTGTCAACAAAAACAATGGAGGGGCAGGCCCCTTTCCCATTTACTGCAAGAAAAAAGCGATTATACATCAAACACATGTATATCTGAATCTTATTTCAGGATATCCTTGGAAGTAATGACATTGAACCCTGTATGTGAAAGTGTAGAAACCTCTGAGGGTGTGCCAGTTACTGTGACAGGGGTCGCTCAGGTCAAGATCATGAAAGAACCAGAGCTATTGAAGACTGCTTGTGAACAGTTCCTGGGAAAAAGTGTCCATCATGTTGAATCAGTAATTCTGCAGACATTAGAGGGTCATCTCAGGTCCATTCTGGGTATGTATAATAACTCTGTAATTGGCAATAAATATAATGTGGTCAGTATAATCATGATTATGAAATTTAATGACAGATCTCTTTAACATGATTGTTATATTGTCCAGGTACTTTGACTGTGGAGGCAATTTACCAGGACAGAGATCAGTTTGCTCAGCTGGTAAGAGAGGTTGCTTCCCCAGATGTGGGCAAGATGGGGATTGAAATTCTTAGCTTTACCATCAAAGACATCAGTGACAAAGTGGAATACCTGACGTCTCTTGGGCGAGCCCAGACTGCCAATGTTAAGAGAGATGCGGATATTGGTGTAGCAGAGGCAAACAGGGATGCAGGAATTAGGGTAAGATACATGTATTCCTGGGATTTTTCTTACTTAAATCATTGTGTCAATGAATTTACTTTGATTCTCTTGTATATTCTTTGCACTTAGCAATGAACTTATTTAGTATTGATATACAGTTGAACCTTGGTATCTCGAACACGGATATCTTGATTATCATGGATATGTCGAAGTAATTTTGAGGTCCCAACTACTTATTCCTTAAGTATTTTACCCTGGATATCTCAAATCCTTGGTCATCTCGAAGTATTTTCTCGGTCCCTTCCTTCAAGTTCGAGATAATGAGGTTTGACTGTATTTCCTTCTTTTGCAAGGACATTGTTTCGTATCACTTCATGATTGTGTTTGTATGCATGTGTGTGTGTTCAGATAATATTTCTGATAGTTTTAGGCCTAGAATCATTGAACTATGCTAGTTAATGTATTTTAGGGGCATGATGACTTTGATTATGTTGCAGCCCAAAAGTAGGATGGGATGACCTCATTTTGGAAATATACATTTATGCATATAAAATCCTATCGTATTCTAAATGAAACAGTACATTATTGTATCTTAGATTACTATTATGGTACGGTTTTATAGGCTCTGTAGTATGCACTGACAATGAGACTCTGAAAGTCTCTTTTGAATTTAATTATGTGAATGGCATTAGAAATATCATTTCTTCAAATAAAACTGTCAAAGAAACGGAACAATATTATCTAATCAAAAACCACAGGTTACTAATTTGTGACATATGTTTTTAAAACAGGAAGCAGAGTGTGACAAACAGCTGATGGACACCAAATTCCAAGCAGACACAAAGATTGCCGATTCTTCCAGGCAGTACCAGATGATGAAAGCCTCATTTGATATGGAGGTCAATGCAAAGGTTAGTGAAAATGTTAAAGTTCAAGGTAAAATCTGTCAATCAACCAGATCATCATACAAATAGCTTAATTAAGTTTTCGTCAAAAAGAGTCTGATTGTCTAAGATTGTGAAAGACACTTCTATCATCTGTTAGAGTCTGTTGGCATTATGTGAATGTTTTATCAATATGATAAATAAATTGTGGTCCACAGAAAGCTGAAGCAGAGTTGGCGTACCAGCTACAGGGAGCTCGTGAGAGACAGAGGATCAGACAGGAGGAGATAGAGATAGAAGTGGTGGAGAGGAGGAAACTGATTGATGTGGAGGAGAAGGAAATCCTGAGGAAGGAGAAGGAACTGATCGCTACCGTCAAGAGACCAGCAGAGGCCCAGGCTTACAAGGTGGAACAGTTGGCTGAAGGTCAAAGGTTAGTGTAATTTGATGCAAATGTACATGTATGTAATAAAGTTCTTGTATTTGGAAGGGGAAAGATGGTTATGCACAAGTAGGTGATGTTTTCAAAGGGAGCTAATCCTTAATTTCTTTGACTATTGTTGATTGGATGCATACATGATTCTTAAAAAGCTTAATGTTATCAAAATACCATGTAATCACACATTTTTATTATTCTTTATTTTAAAAGTTGATGAGAATTACATCTACATATTTTGCAAGGGAAAAAGTTTGTTTTGAATAGAGACTGTCTCATTCACAACAAAGTCAAGATTACTTTAAGGCACAGCTTATCAAAAAAAAATTTTGCTTCAATATTAATTAAATATTAATATTAGATACTGATTTTTTTTCAAACTAAGTTTCTTTTCCTCTACACAAAGCAAGTTAATAAAATGGTGTTGATGCATTTTGTATGAAAATGCTAATATATTTCTGAAATGTATTTTGTATATGCTGGTTACCTGACATGCACAAAGTTCCATACTTTTTGAATGAACTTGTATGTAGATGTTTTTGGACATCTATCTAAACATAAGTGTCTTGAAAGTTTACTTTAGGAGTGTGTTTGATACTCTTTACATGATACTGTGTTCCTCTGTAGGAGACAGACAGTAGAGGTGGCACATGCCGAGGCTGAGAGAATCCGTCTGATTGGTGGATCTGAGGCTGGTGCAATTGAGTGTGTGGGTAAAGCAGAGGCAGAGAAGATGAGACTTAAGGCCTCGGCTTACAAACAGTACGGAGAAGCTGCTATGTTATCTCTGGTTCTGGAGACTCTGCCAAAGGTAAGTAAAGGCAACACTATTGAGAATTATTTGTATTTTTGATGAAGTTAATCAAGTTTGCTCCACACAGTTCTGTAATAATCCAAATAATAAATTTCTTCACTCAGATTGCTGCTGAGGTTTCCGCCCCTCTTGCTAAGACAGATGAGATTGTAATGGTTGGAGATGACAGAACGACCAGTGAAGTGAGTCGTTTGGTGAGCCAGCTACCTCCTGCTGTACAAGCCCTCACAGGAGTGGATCTCTCTAAGGTCAGAACACTGGGATATTATTATGTAAAGTCCTTGACATTTGGTGAATATATACATGTACAAGCCTTCACAGGAGTGGATCCCTCTAAGGTCAGAATACAGGGAGATTGTTATGTAAAGTCCATCTCTCAAAGGTCAGAATACAGGGATGTTGTTATGTAAAGTCCCTGATATTTGGTGAATATCTGTATAGTCAGGACAAGTACGCTGTAAGTGTTGTCTTCCAATATTTGTTTGAAACTCACTGTAAAGATCTACTTGCCTGAGAGAATTGTCTTTATCAAAAATTATTTTTATTACATACATGTATGTAATAAAACCATAGAAGTTGTTATATCATCTGCTCTGCAGCTGGTAAAAAGATGTCTTGGCTCTTTAAAGCAATTAGGTGACTACAACTCAGTTGACATAACTTTCAATCCGGACTGTATAGACTGATGAGTTCTGCCACTTGGCTTGTTACAGTACAATCAAGGGATTTGAGAGAGATTTATCTATGTAATTTTAAGAATAAGCAATTTTAACACATCCAGCTGTGTGTCGATACAGACAAATTTGTTCACCCGCAGCGAATTTATATGTCTAAGCCAGTCAGGCACTGGTTATTTCAAGCACTGTTCAAGCATGTGTTGAATTTCAAAATAACTATACTATGTGCATGACAAATTGCAAAGGAAATATTCACTTTTATTGGATCAATCAATGAATGCAAATATAACAAATTGTATAAATATGATAGATGCACATTACAAATACATGCATTTTATTTTGTTTATTCATATAGGTGATTAATGAAGTTGATGTAATTCTGATATTGTTGAACACTTTTTAGCTCACCTGAGCTGAAAGCTCAAGTGAGCTTTTCTGATCACCTGTTGTCCATCGTCCGTCCGTCTGTCCGTCTGTCTGTCCGTCCGTCTGTAAACTTTTCACATTTTCAACTTCTTCTCAAGAACCACTGGGCCAATTTTAACCAAACTTGGTACAAAGTATCCTTGGGGGAAGGGGAGTTTAAATTGTTAAAATAAAGGGCCAAGTCCCCTTACAAGGGGAGATAATCAAGAAAAGACAAAAATAGGGTGGGATCATAAAAAAATCTTCTTCTCAAGAACCACTGGGCCAGAAAAGCTGAAACTTATATGGAAGCATCCTGGGGTAATGTAGATTCTAAATTGTTAAAATCATGACCCCCGGAAGTAGGGCGGGGCCAGAATAGGGAATCCAAGTTTTACATTGAAATATATAGGAAAAATCTTGAAAAATCATCTTCTCAAGAACCACTGGGCCAGAAAAGCTGAAACTTGTATGGAAGCATCCTGGGGTAGTGTAGATTCTAAATTGTTCAAATCATGACCCCCGGGGGTAGGGCGAGGCCACAATAGGAAATACAAGTTTTACATTGAAATATATAGGAAAAAATCTTCTTCTCAAGAACCAAGGGGCCAGAGAAGCTGAAACTTATGTGGAAGCATCCTGGGGTAGTGTAGATTCTAAATTGTTCAAATCATGACCCCCGGGGGTAGGGCAGGGCTACAATAGGAAATACAAGTTTTACATTGAAATATATAGGAAAAAATCTTGAAAAATCTTCTTCTCAAGAACCAAGGGGCCAGAGAAGCTGAAACTTATGTGGAAGCATCCTGGGGTAGTGTAGATTCTAAATTGTTCAAATCATGACCCCCGGGGGTAGGGCGGGGCTACAATAGGAAATACAAGTTTTACATTGAAATATATAGGAAAAATCTTGAAAAATCTTCTTCTCAAGAACTACTGGGCCAGAAAAGCTGAAACTTATGTGGAAGCATCCTGGGGTAATGTAGATTCTAAATTGTTCAAATCATGACCCCTGGGGGTAGGGCAGGGCCACAGTAGGAAATACAAGTTTTACATTGAAATATATAGGAAAAATCTTTAAAAATCTTCTTCTCAAGAACCACTGGGCCAGAAAAGCTGAAACTTATGTGGAAGCATCCTGGGGTAATGTAGATTCTAAATTGTTAAAATCATGACCCCCGGGGGTAGGGCGGGGCCACAATAGGGAATCCAAGTTTTACATTGAAATATATAGGAAAAATCTTGAAAAATCTTCTTCTCAAGAACCACTGAGCCAGAAAAGCTGAAACTTATGTGGAAGCATCCTGGGGTAGTGTAGATTCTAAATTGTTCAAATCATGACTCCCGGGGGTAGGGCGGGGCCACAATAGGAAGTACAAGTTTTACATTGAAATATATAGGAAAAATCTTTAAAAATCTTCATCTCAAGAACCACTGGGCCAGAAAAGCTGAAACTTATGTGGAAGCATCCTGGGGTAGTGTAGATTCTAAATTGTTCAAATCATGACCCCTGGGGGTAGGGCAAGGCCAGAGTAGGGAATACAAGTTTTACATTGAAATATATAGGAAAAATCTTGAAAAATCTTCTTCTCAAGAACCACTGAGCCAGAAAAGCTGAAACTTATGTTGAAGCATCCTGGGGTAGTGTAGATTCTAAATTGTTCTAATCATGACCCCCGGAAGTAGGGCGGGGCCACAATAGGAAATACAAGTTTTACATTGAAATATATAGGAAAAATCTTTAAAAATCTTCTTCTCAAGAACCACTGAGCCAGAAAAGCTGAAACTTATGTGGAAGCATCCTCAAGTAGTGTACACTCTAAATTGTTCAAATCATGACCCCGGGGATGGGGGCGGGGGGGAGGGGCACAATAGGGAATCCAAAGTTTTACATTGAAATATATAGGAAAAATCTTTCAAAATGTTCTCAAGAACCACTGGACCAGAAAAACTGAAACTTATGTGGAAGCATCCTGGGGTAGTGTAGATTCTGAATTTTTCAAATCATGGCCCCTGGGGGTAGGGCGGGGCCACAATAGGTATTACAAGGGGGGAAGTCTTGTAATGAACAGCATGGCCAAAGTTACTCAGGTGAGCGATGTGGCCCATGGGCCTCTTGTTTTATTCTACATCTTTATTACTGTATACATTTCGTATTTGCAGGTTGTGGGTAAAATCCCAGGTGCCACATCATAGAAGTTGTGTGTTTCTGAAACCCTGCATGCATGGCCAATGGGACAATTAACAAATACCCGTTGTGGACATTGTGTTATTATTGTGTAGATTTCTTTTTTACACATGTTGACAGTCCATCGATCGATTAACCATTAGCAGCATATATAACAGTCATATTGTCTGCATACTTATACATATTCATTATAAGGGCTTTAGTAAACTTATGTCAAAGTTATATTTCTGTTAATTCTATGCTAGTCATTATAAATTCAGATTTTTATTCATTTTGGGGATTGATTTCTTAAAGTAATGACTTCAAAACATCTGCCTTATGAAACGGGGTTTGCTCAATTGTATTTTGAAGTGTGCTGGTAATTTTTATGTTTTATGTTTTATTATTCATAGGGTTAGTGAAATGAAGGAACATAAAGATACATGTACGTAGAGGGGAAGTATATGTATATTAAGCATAATACTGCTTATACTCCAGTGAAGTTGTCAACATATAAGCTGCTAACCAGAGCTTTGGTATGAGATAAATCAGTACTGGCAGCTATTGTCCTATTTAACTAATTCTGTGTTGTTCTTTTTACTTTGTTTTAGTACTTTATTGTACTTGTATTTTAAACACTGAAGAAATTTTGACATACTGTTTGAGCTTCATTTGGTATCCTAAAGACTGATATGTACATGTATTTATGTGAAATCAGCATTGAAGTTAAAATTACAATGCTTCTGTAAAGATACAATCATGATATATATCCATCTGCACAATCTTGTAGAAATTTTTGTTTTCTTCTGTTTTAAAACCTGTGTTTATCACATTAAAATATCATAGATTACTTTAATAGATGGAAAATAAAGGTTTTTAAGTAAATTTTGTTCTGACAGATTCCTCTTAATATCCACTGAATAAACCTTTTCAAGCTTACATATATTTAAGAAGAAAATCCTTTTATGATACAAAACCTTCACATTTCAATGCAATGGCATTAATTTACATGTATTTCTAAAATATTTGTCCAATGTATAGTTACCCACCAACATTGTGTAGATTATACTAGATTTTTCTTTTTATATGTTGTAATTTAAGCAATATTATTTAGCAAACCATTAAACTAAATACATATTTATAATATCCATTAGCATACCTTTCCAATAAAGTTTTAAATAATGTGA